TTTCTGAGCTGTTTCGAGGTATGTTGGAAGGACACTTGTTGCAATATGGGTTGCAAAGAATTTCTTATTCCTTTCATGACTGTAGTTTCTAGAGGTGGAAATATATCCCATTTTAACACTCCTTTAAAGTCATCCAAAGGATGTGATAAAACATGGCAAGAAATCAAGATTCAGGGTGTCACGTCCCAATTTCTCAGGACGATGACTCAGGTTAGCTGATTCCCAAGTCAGGGTTAAGGTGAAACGACACCAGGGATCCTTTAACTCACAAAACTCAATTTTTATTTGCTCACCACCAGAATTGGTATGCTCACAACAAAAATTGGCATGAAACTATGTCAGTAAACTGTGTAACATGTTCTAACCATACATCACCAAACATACACTACAGGCCTTGCTTATTTGGGGATCAGTTCAGGGAAGACAATAAGGAGAGCCCTCCCATTGAGTCACAAGGTTCAGAGCGGACCCCCTTGCTTTCTAGACTCCTTCTCAGCAAGGAGCCTAGGGGTGGCTGGATCTGCTCCTAGTCCCAGACTTGGTCAATGCTTTATGTCTAAAGGGACGAGGTGTAGGGATTACGGGAAAGGAAAAGGGAAAGAGAGAGAGAAAAGACAAAGATTTCACCAGTTCTGGATCCAGTGTTGGTTCAGTCAGCTGAGGGGTCCAGTTCTGGTGGGTGCATCCACGTGGGGCTTCAGTTTGTGTCCTTTTATCATCCTTGCCCCTCCTTTGGGTGGGCGCTCGAACTCATTAGGCTAATTAGGTAGCCTTTGGGCCAAGGTCTGGGTGGTCTTTTGGGGAGTAGCTTCCCCTTCTCTGCTGATGTGATCTTTGGCCATACATGGTGAGCTGCCGCATTCAGCACATCAGAACAGCACACCAGAACTAGGAGCTGTGCACCCTCCAGCATGCCTTCCCCCTCCTGTTGCTGATGGGCTTCTTCTCACCTATGGTTCCTTGCTAGGCAGAGTTCATTGTTATGCAGGTAGTCGTTAAGCAGAGCTTGCCCCACCACAATGTTTGAGACAGTAACTCCTTCAGTCTCTCACACAGGGACAAGGTCATCTATAACTTGGTCTCTTTGTCTCAGAACTGCAATATAATGGCACTGTGCATTGATGTGCTCGACTTCCGATTTGAATAAAGGTCTTGTAAACTTATCTGTAAGGGTGTGAAAAAGGGGAAAAAACCCCCAACTCCTCATTTTTTCACTTTATCCTTGTCTGTTTTTCTTCAGCAAGGGAAGGGTATAGTGCTTGGAAGAGCATCCAGTTGGACATGAGTTATTAATGACTAAGCTTTTTTTTATTGCACAAGCAGATTGAAATGTTTAAAGTAACTTTTTTCTTAGACCCCGCTTATTTCAAGCACTTATTTAATGTCTTTGAAGCCGGGGGTTGGTTTCTTGAACTGCCTTGCATTCCTTCTTATCTTCTGTTTATTTGTTAGTATTGCAGTGGGATCTGTAATTTTGTTGCTGGTAGACACTCCGTGGTAGAGGTAATCTGAACCTCATCTGTGAATACTCCTCTAAATATCCCTTTACTATGGCTTCTCTCCCCAAAATTCTGCACTGCTACCTATCTTATCTTGTTCCTTTACTTCTCCAAAGTAATCTTACATTTATTTTACTTCCTTCCCCAATGTGCTTCATCTAATTCTGTTGACCAACATATATTACATCTTAAACCGGAAGTGCAATGTTGTCTGGCTCCCATGGCCTCTATCTGTATGAAGAACTCTTCTACACATCTTTATATCCAGGCAAAATCCAAAATTTTGTTTAAGACTCTCCACTGACTTACTCTAGCCTGATGGACAGACCTTGGGTGGGATCCAGGCTGCACTAGGAGCTTACATTGAATGGGTGATACATGCACATGATTCGACTTATGTATATAGCCTGTTTAGTAGTATTAGAAGTGAAGGTATTATTTAATCTTTTCCATGGTTTCCCTTCACTTTGAGGACTTTAAATTTTGAATTCTGAAATACTACTGTTAGATTTCCAAAAAGCACTAGGAGAATTCACTGGTACAACTGGGAAATCTTTCTCACCATTCTTTTGGGTGACTCCCAACTTTTGCCAATAGCTGGTTGGTTGGTTTGGGTTTTTTCCCCTTTTCCTTTTTTTTGTTGCATTTGTAGCTTGTTTTTTGAAGTCTTCTAAATTGTGCTTGTTTTCATTAACTCCACTCAAGGTCATGTTTTGGACTTTATATTGCTTCAGACTTACTCATAGGTTTGAGTCATTGAATTATGAATATTTTTTCATATTGCATCAAACATGATGCAGAAGAGTACAATTCCTGAAGAACAGCAACATAATCTCTTTTTGGTCTTACTGAATTACCATTTGAAATGTAGTGATCTTCTGTTGGTCATGACTGTACCAGGAGAAACCAAATCTGGTCTTTAGACAGCACTTACTCAATAAAGTTTAGTGCTTTTTAGGTGAGCATTCTGGTTTGGGTCCCAGATGTCTCATAGTATACAGCACTTTATCCACTGTTTAAGAAAGGCACAATCCAGCCTGTTTATTAAGATGAATATTTAGTTCATCACAAGAGGATCTGTTGAGTATTTCTAAGGTATTCTGAAAAGTACTACTATTTAAAAGGTCATGCATAACAAACCAGGAATTTCCACGACTACTTCTAAGTGCAAGCAGAGCAAAATAGTAATGGTATTCTGTGCTGCATGTGATATTCCTGATAGCCAAGGTGTTTTGATTTCCGCTCTTTTTTAGTCTGCCAGCTGTCTTGTTTCATATGTATTTGCATTCTCATGGTAGACTTTTTTTATTTAAAAAGAAACCCAAAGAAAATAGTGAACCTTTACTTCTGGTAGTAACAAAGTGGTGCCATTCTGTAGGTAGTGCTTATTGCTGTTTCTTCTACTGAAGCTCTAATTTTACCTTTCTTATGCTTATATAACAGAAGAACAGAGACTTGATTTTTGTCACCCATACCACTAAATATTTTTTCTAAAGGTCAGGAATCTCCTGTTTATTTTAATTACAGAATTGCAGCATTGCAATAAAACAGAACAAGAATGGAGTTGAACTCTTGAACTGTTGATTTTCGTCTGCAGTGGCTTCCAGTAGGAAGTGCACATAAGCAGTTAAATGTATTATAGCTAAATAAAGTAATATTAAGGAGGTTGCTTCTCAGTTGTTTGGTAGTGAAAGTACTGAACATATTCAAAATAAGCTATTGGTCTGTGTTAGAGAATCACAGTATTCAGGAAAAGCAAGAGCTGTTGTCTGTTTTTTTGTGGGGGAAGTTATTTATCTACCCTACAAAATAAGTCTTAATTTGTTTTAATATCAGATTATCTACACAAACTACACCTGGGATATTTGGAAGATTTTCTTTTATTTGGAGACCGTGCTTCAATTATGATTGTATGACTTCCAAATGCCTTCAGTTAGCATTAGTCTTTTGCTATGGCTACCCCAGTCAGTATTGTGAAATATATTAGGATATGTTGTGAAGACACTTCTGCCATTTTTTTAGCAATTCTTGGAGAAAAACTACTCATACCTAAGTCTGCCAAGACTCTGAAGGATCAGCACCTCCAATATCAAGAAATCTGTATAGTGTACTGTTTTTTTTTTTCTCTCCCTGTCATTTTGATAAGGAGATTACTGAAACTATTCAAGGTAAAATTACAGTCAAGTATGGCATAAAAGTGTTGCAGCACTGGGATTTAATTTAAAGAGAAAAACTTGAAAAAAATCTTTCGCATGCTTTTTACATTTGCTTTAGCTATACGTGTTGAATGTTTGATATTAATGGCACATAATTTTAAAGTCGTTTTTTTAAGTAGAGCAGCCAAAGCAGAAAACGGAGAATTACTTTCCTAAGTCCTTTAAAAAGTTAATCTTTACAATCAAGACTTGCTAAGTCTTGATTTAGGGAAGATGCCAGGGGATTTGTTTGTCATCAAAATAAAAAAAGATTGTTAAAGCCTAATGCTATATATATTAAAAAAGTGTTCTGTGAGTTGTGAAGCTTAGTGAATTCTACTGTCATCTGGGTTTGAGTCCCATGACCCCCGTAATTTTCTTGCTTTCGTTTCCGTTCATTGTCTCTTGCTGCTATTGCCGTAAGCCCACCTTCTTACCCTGTCCTCTCCTACCTTGCGTCAACTTCAGTTATTCCAGTTCCTATCTACAGATTCCATCCCTCCTAAATATCGTTTAGGTGAGATGTATCCAGTTTCTGTGGGTTTCCACTATTAAGGTCCTGTAAGATGCCACTGACCCTCAAGCATGTCTTCATAACAAATTTAGGATTTTCAGAGTTTCCTTTTAAATGTGGCACATTTAACTAAAATGTAGCAGTTAATGAGCAAACAAAAAAAACCTGTGGATCATTGAGCCTTGTTTCTGGTAAAGTGCTAGTTGTGTTTGTTATCCATATCTAGCAACAGGTGCACTCAAGAAAAACTAAATATTGAAGGCAAAGACTGTTTTCTTCACAAAATGGCTTGGTACTGTTCACTTGGTAAGAATAAATGTTGGCAGGTTTTCACAGAATATGAATATGTGGTGCAGAGTCATGGTCTAGTTATTTCACAGGAGATGATTTAATGGATAGTGATAGTCGTAATAGGAGAACAGGAGTAGGAGGGGGAAGACTGAAATAAAATATATGATAATATATGATTTAAAAAATTGTGCATCTATTTAAAGCTGAAGTTTTGTCAGGATAATATTGAAATACCTAGCCCTTAACTTGGGATGGAATATAGTAATATATTATCACTGTTGTCACACATCTATATTTTAATAACTGTGCTGTCTAAGATTGTGTATGACTAATCTCAGGAGATGTACCTGATGATTACATGTGCTGCAGATGACATATGGAAGGAAGTAATGCTACTGCTTACATACTTTATGCTTTTCTCAATAAAGGATACTACAAAGAGCTAAATATTTTTTCTTGTTTATTTATATATACATGCAATTTTTCTGTGTATCTTTTCAGCTCATGGAAAAAACTGACCGAGAGTACTACACTCTGGATGACATGTTTGTTTCCAAAGCAGCCAAAAGAGCACGCAGTGGGGAAGAGGAAGAAATACAAAGAAGAAAAGCAATACATGAGCACCAGCAGCTTGCTGCACGCATGGAAAAGTGCCCATACTGCTTTGATAGCAGTGAACTTCCTAAACATCTTATTATTGCAATTGGCACCAAGGTAAGAAAATAGCAATTTAACACAGATGTAAAAATAAAAAAGGGATAAAGGAAGGCAGTGTTGATGTTAGCATGCCTAAGATTAAGAACAAAATCACTTCTATGAAATGATTTATTGTTCTGCATCTTATTTTCCTTGCCCTTCTGATTGATTTCACAAATTCCTCAAGGGTGAGGGAGGAAAAGATATAAATCTGTCATGAATTTTGAAGCTCATCTTTGATATCAGAACTTCACATTTGTGGATTTGTGGAAGACAGGAGTAATAATAAAAGGTCTGAGTGCAGAGATTGATTAGACTGTAGGTGGATTTGTGGAAGACTAAATCACAATGCACTGAAGGAAGTTTGAACTGATGAAGAACTGTATCTCAATGATATCAAGAAAATTAAGTGTAGAACTCAATTTTTAAGCCTAAAATCCTTTGAAATAGGCAGAAGTTTGATGCGGGGAACTTTCCTGTTTCTGTTAATGCTTTTAAAAGTTGCATAAATATTTGGATTTATAACATCTGAAATGCTTCAATATAGGCTTTTTTGTCATTCTTTCACTAAAGTTTTCATTTATTATTGATGTTTTTAATTTGATTTGAAAATTTTTGTAGGCCAAGTAATTAAATGCATAGATATGTATTATGGTACATTGCAATTATTTTTTTATATAGATAGATTATATATATATAAAATATATATATTACAAATGCATATAGGTGTATATCTGTGTATGTATATAATCTGTGTGTATATATGTGTGTTATATATCTAACACATATACAGAGATATATCTATATCTGTATACATTAGATATTTTATTAAAAGTATATACATATATATATATTAAAAAAATATTGTAATGGACTAAACAGTGTGATTTCATAATAGTTAGGATACCAGTTGGTCTATACAGCTGATATTACTGCCTTGTTGGTGGAACTGCTCTCTGGATACTACTAGTTCATTGGAGCTGCTGATGGATAATGGGACCTTTTTAAAAAACACTAAAATTACTGATACCTTGCTGTAATAAGAAGGTAATGGCTTCTATTGGTTTGACTTTAGCAAACAATGTATTTCTTAGCCTCAGCAACCGGAAGGTTTTTAATGCTAGAAATATGGGCACTTCAGTTTTTGTTTGGTTTTATAGGTATACTTGTCTCTACCAAGCAACCAGTCCCTTACTGAAGGTCACTGCCTGATAGCTCCTCTACAGCACCATACTGCAGCCACTCTTTTGGATGAAGACATCTGGGAAGAAATACAGGTCAGCTGAGAAACTGTCTTGTGTTCTAACAGTTTTGTAAAATAATGTTGTTTTGAATGATAATATGCTTGTCATAAGTACCTATTTTCATAATTTCCAGCCTGGCAGCAGTCTTCTGATTCCACTAAGGGGCAGAACATTTTTGCATTATCGATGAAAATTAGTGGTCAGATATTGAAAAAGGGAGATGCAAGGTAAACGCTGAAGAAAAGTTCCCATTTATAAGCACTAGAAAAAGTTGCCTAGAATGCTGCAGAACCTCTGTCGCTGGAGGTCTTTGAAACCAGGTTAGAGGAACATCTTTTGGGGATGATGGAGGTACAGCCGATCTCTTACAGAAAGAATAACTGGCTTCACAGTTAGGATTTCCTTGGGAGCGCCAAGGAAAAGAAAAGGAATGTCAGGGCAGAAAGATCACTTGTTATGAAACAGAAGCTGAAGATACATTAATATTTTCCTTAAAAGTCAAGCATGGCTGGTGGAAATGTCTTGTGGTTTTGGTTTGGTTTTTTTTTTTTTTTTCTTTTTTAAACTGTGTAAGTGGAAGTAGTGGTGAAAGGATAATAGTATCTATAGTCAGTACAAGCCAAGACATTAGCTTCTTAGAAACTGCAAGCTTGGGACCTACTGTTAAAGCAATGTTGTTTTATGGAGCATCACAGTTACGAAGTTCAACATAGTTTTAATTTCAACTGTAAAATATGCAGTATTTATTAAAACTGAGTTTGTAGTGTTAATTATAATGCATATTTCACAATAGTTTTCTAGACTTCCTTTGTTTGTATCATAGGAAATATAGTTCATATTCAGCTGTTGAATAATACAGAATTTTCTTAGTATGTTTGCTGCTGTTACCCATTTTATTATGAGTTTATTATTAATATAATGTAAGTGAAATAATATATTATATCTGAAAGCTTTGAGAAGTTAATTCAAATTACACATTTTTTTTTTTTCTTTAAACAGATGTTCCGAAATGCGTTGGTGAAAATGTTTGAAGCTAAAGACTTGGACTGTGTGTTCCTAGAAATGAACATGAGTATGAAGAAACGGTATCACATGGTATATGAATGCATTCCTCTTCCAAAAGAAGTAGGAGATATGGCTCCAATCTACTTTAAGGTACACAAAAATGTTTTTTTCTTAGGTCATTTGAATGTATTTATCATAATTCATCTATTTCTGGAAAACTTTTTGATATTCAAGTGCTATTTTTGAAAAGACGGATTCTTTGATCCTACTTCTTGATCCACTCTTTGATCATATTCCTTGATGTTAAAACAAGCCCTGTAAGGTAATTCTGTTTTTCAAGTAGTCAGTGGAAGAGCTGTATGTCACTGTGCAGTTGCCTCGAGTCTGACTGCACTGACAAATACTGGAAGAAGATGAGACAATTAGAGTTTCTTGAAGTGCTGTAAGGATTGCAATACTTCTCACTTAAGTCCTGTAGTATAAACTTAAAACCCCATACATGTACCTTGGCAAGCATAAAATGAGAAAATAATGTCAACTGTTTTAAGAAATACCAATACATAAAGTTTCATCCCCATTTTATTTCAGTAAGCCCAAGTTTTGCATGTGTCTTAGGTCTCTGATGAACATTAGACAGCATGATAGATATTTCTTCTATAGCTTTTCTGGTCTCTTCACCCTGACCCTGGAAGGAAAGGCTCATTGAACCTTTTAACTGGAAGTGAGGCCTTTTGGCTTTCAGCAACTGGATCGTGATTTGCCTTTTATAAGTAAATTATTTTATTTGTTCTTTGAAATATTTTTGTTTTCTGGAAATAATGTGATTGGGTTTTGATTAAGTGGAGCAGTCAGTATGATGAACAGCAATGTAGTAACTTTTACCACATTTGAAACTTTCCACCTGGTTGATTTCATTGATATGCTTCAAGTGCTGGTAAAACTTGTGTTTTGTCTGAATACTACAGGAAGGATGAAGTATAAGACTTAATGAAATGTCATTTGCATAAAACTTTCTTTCAGAAGCTTCCGCCATTAAAATACACAACAAATGAAATTTAAAAGGTACTTACACTACACGATACCCACTTCTGTACTATGGAGGATAGAGAAGCGGTATTAAAGGTTTTTAAGCGCTAACAGCCTTCTAAGCTGGATTCTCCTCTTAGTGTTTGAAAAAGAAAAAAGGCTAATATAGTGTAATGAATTCATAAGAGGTTTTGTATGAGCTTAGTAAAAAGAGAATGTGACCTTTCAGTTGAAACTTGTTAGAAATAATTTGTGTCAGGCAAAAGTTAAATATAAAAAAAAAAAAAAAGAGGAGCAGAATTAAGTAATTAAGTGAGTTTGAAGATACTGTACGATGCCTTTATAAAAAGTAAGTAAGTTGTGGAAATCAGAAAGGTTGCCAAAAATAAAGTTACTTTGTTAAGAAATAATTGGTACTTGCAGTGCAATGTACTTCACTACATTGAAAAGTTAGCTCTTTGCTTGCTGTATGAAGGACTATTTTCACATTTAGATAAAATGATTTTACAGAAAGCTATAATGGAGTCTGATGAAGAGTGGTCCGTGAACAAGAAGTTAATTGATCTTTCTTCAAAAGATGTTCGGAAATCTGTAAGTAATGAAATGTATTGAAGAATTTCTCAGCAAATTCTTCTCATCTTTTTTTGTTATTAACTGTTTCAAAGAGAAAAGAAAGGGAACACAATTAGATTAGTGCATTAGGAGATGGCATAGGTATGATTAGAATTAAGGGTCTGACTGAACTCCTAACTGACATTAGGGAAAAGATTCCCATTTATTTCCACAGTTGGTGGACTGAGCTGCAAGCATTGGTTGAGAACAAAGCTGGCACTTTGAGGACATGTACCAGCATAATTTTGTTGATTAACTTTTAAGAATTAAGGTAAATCAAAGTTTTGCAAATTACTTTCCTGGAAAAAATATGATGTGTCTTTTTCATTGACCTAGAACAGCCTTTTGTGTTGCTAAATTTATGACGCAAAAATATAAAAGTATTATAGTATTATAAATCTTTTTATTCTAAAGTAAGGGAACAGTACTCGTATCTGTCTCCTGGATACTAAACTGAAACATCTTTGTATATACAAATTTTAAAGGAATAACACTGAAATTGTTAGGTTCAAAGATTGTTCCACTTTTTAATATTGAAGTGAAAGATGAGTGTTACATAGACTTTACCACAAGTAGTTTAGTACTATGAAGTAATAATATTTGATTTCTGAAAGTGTCTTTTAGTAAATATAACATGTTTACACTAAAAAAAATCCTAGTTTAGGAGAAAGAGGAGATGGGGTTTAATAATGAGACATGAAGCCTAATATGACAAAGAGGGAGATTAAATGCAGAAGAGTAAGGGATTGCGTATCTGTATAGTAGGAGAGATTTTGTATATTATGATGACTCTTGAACCAAACCAACAGTGGTACCAAATGTAGCAAAAAGACAAAATTTATTCTGCCACATAAGCTCAAATGTCATATAAATGGGAGTCAGTTATGCGTCACCTTGTTCAAAGTGGTGAGGCTTCACCTGGAAAATTTGGTTCTGGCTTTGGGCACAGTGTTTTAAGACAGTTACAGAAGAGGAGAGCATAGATTAGAAAACTTAACTAAAGAAACTGGTTGAGGGGTTGTGCAGTCTAGGAAAGAAAAGACTGAAATGGGATGTGATGGTAGTTTTCTGCATATAGGAGATTGTTTTAAAGAAGAGACTAGGTTGTTTGCTAGCACTGTTGGGTGCAGACAAGAAGGAATTAAATTAATTGTAGCAAGGATTTAGGTAAGACTTTAAACTTAAGGTGGATGCAAACAGATAACAAAATAGCCATGCTTTGGATATCTTCTGATCATTGGTGTTTCAGAACGGGGAAAGCCAACATCTGTCACAAATAAATGAAGTATAATTTTCTTGATACATGGTAGGACATCAGGACATTTTATTTCTTTAAGAATCTTCTTAGCCATACATTTTTGTGACTATTTTATACCCATTTGAAGGTAGGCCAGTTTTCAGATTATGTCACGAGTGTAAATTGTTACACAGTTGTGTGATTTTAACATTATTTTAGTGTAAAAGAAATGCCTGTAACCTTCAGGAAGATAGGAAAGTATAGTTTAGAGACCGAGATGAGGTTTGGGAAGTTGCAGAGTTGTATTAGGTGATGGTGATGCCTGGAAGGAGGGTCAGACGTGGCAGAGACATCATCTGATAGATGGATTTTATGCGGAAATTGGGACTATGGTGTCCAGAGGCAGAGTCTAAGCATCCAGCCCTTGCATAGCATCAAGGTCTTCTCTGCTTCCCCCTCTGCTCCCTGCAGTGAGGGAGCTGGGGGTGGGCAATGGGCTGGAAGGGGAGCACAGCCAGGAGACCTGACCCGGCAACAAGCACTGTTCAGCAATAGCCAAAACACTGGCATGTTATCAACGCAGGTTTAGTCACTGGTCCAAAACTCAGCACCATATGGGCTGCTGTGAGGAAAATGAGCTCCATCCCAGCCAGACCCCATACATTGCTAGACACAAATAAGATAAAGCTGATGCTTTCCTTAAGGTGTCACCTGCCAACCCATTTTTTACCTTATTTAATGACTATTTTTTTTTTGTTCATTTAAAATGTTTTATGTTTCTTGCTATGCTACATTGACCCTCTGTATTAAGTCTTAATTATTTTTAGAGTGAATTTTCAAGCAATATATTGAATGTGCCTTGTGAAAATTGCACAGTTACTTAGATTGTAGCAGAGGAAATGCTTATGAATTTGAGGCTTTGTAAATCTTATCTGTACAGGAACATCCTCAACAATTAAGAGTGGAAAAATAACTTGTTGCAGTGAAGTAGCAGAATACTGCAGCAATAAATGAATTCACTTCTCACTCTGTCAGACTGAAGGGTCTTTCCTTGTGGCAGGATAACCGGCGTCTCCTCTCTAGGCTGACTGAATTATTAAATTATCTGATTGGGCAAGTTAATGATAACTTCCAGTAGTGGTGTTTTCTGGAAGTGTATTCTCTGTAGAGGTGTTTCCCCTTCCCCCTGAGTGTCAATGATTCCACTGGGTACATATTTTCTGTTATCACACACCGCCTTATCTTAATAAATGCAACTTGCTGGTGGTTGTCTTAGGATTTCTGCTCAACCCATGTAATTCAGAGGTGTGCAGTCAGGAATGCATTTGCTCAGTGTGCATGCTGCTGCCTGGTCCCTCCCAATCTCTTACCTGGCGCTGCAGCGGTGGTCTCTGGAGGTTCTGCCACCCAGTAATCATCTTTTCAGTTTTCAGTGTCTTTTTATCTAGTTGTTGTGTGTTTGTTCTTTCCCCTTACCTGTTTGTTTTACTGTTTCTCTGTTGCAATTTTATGCTATGCATACTTGGTTTGAGGGGTGGTTTAAAATAAAATGTGATATATCAACTGTAAAACCACTTTCAAGTTCATTAAGTTGTGGGGAGATTAACTAAATGCCTACAGTCTGTTAAACATCTAAAAATGTGGTATTGCACGTATAGGTTCCTAAAGGGTTACCATACTTTTCTGTGGACTTTGGCCTTCAAGGAGGATTTGCTCATGTCATTGAAGATCAACACAAGTTCCCTCATTACTTTGGAAAGGTATTGTCACGTAAAAGATCAATTTACCAATTATACTCTGTTTTGTAAAATTTAAGTAATTAAAACAGATGCTTGCCAGAACAGTCACTTTGATGTACCTTATCCCAGTTTATTAACTGGCTTTTGTTGGTGAGTCATTATAACTTGGCTTGTTGAATAAAGGAGTAGTTGATTTCTTCACTGGCTGATACTCAGAATGTGATTCTAGATCCATCTTTCTTTTGAATTAATAGGAACTCTAGATATTTGACATATAATCTAATAGATGGAAAATACTTGCATCTATTTAAGAGTTTTCATGGCCATAGTCTTGTCATATGGGTGCACTGACTTATGCTTGTATAAATTAGGGTGCATACACACAGAGACTCAGATGACTCCTAGTAAAATACTTGGGTGGCTAAATTGCTCCATGTGACTTAGAGAGTATAGTACATACAGGAAGAACTGCAATAAATTTTCCTTTATTTATTATGTCACAGCAATCATTTATTCAAAGAGTCAATATTGCAAAAATATTAAGAGTGATTGGGGAGAAATATAACTTCAGAAGGAGTTAAGAGCAAAGTGGGCACAGCTTTATTTTTTCTGAACTTTTCTCTTAGTCACAAATGTACTAATTTATTAAGAATCTTGCAATGTTAGGATATTTATGCAGTGCATTGCTATGGTGTACTTGAAAGAATTTCACTGAGGCAACCATCTAACAACTACAGTTCTAATTTTTGAATTGGTATGTCTTTCAGAACTTCAAGTTTAAATAACTACCACTTGAAGAAAACAGTGACAATCTCATAATTTGAAAATATATATTTCTTTATTCTGTGGTAAAATAGTGTGAACTAATATGGTAATTATGTATTCATAATTATCTATGTTTCTTCTACTTGCAAAGGAAATTATTGGTGGCATGCTGGACTTGGAACCGCAGCTCTGGAGAAAAGGAATCAGACAGAACTTTGAGGATCAGAGGAAGAAGGTGTTGCAGTTTGCACAGTGGTGGAAACCATATGACTTTACCAAAAAGAAAGAATGAGCACATCCCTGCCCTATATAAGCCATAAATTATATTAAAGGATATTTCCTATACTAAGAATAACACCAGTGGGTTATGTATTGCTAATATATTTTAAAACCAAGGATACTGTTTAATTGCTGATTACCTGTTGTTAGTTTAGACACAAGCCTGACAAACCAGAAGTGTACAGTGGTTTTAGTTTTTAACTTTTTAGCTGAGCCAAAAGAATAATATCCATGTGGCCATTGGAGTTCTTCAAAATGTAGCTTCTGCTTTTAGATTTTTTATAATCTTTGAGGCAACTTGATTTTTTAATATTGTATTTAGCATAGAGCCAGTGCTTAATTATCATGGTGACTTTTTGTAGAAAATGGTGTACATTTTAAGAACATTTTGATTAATACAAATACATTGTTGCAGAAGGAAGCTGTACAGAAAATAATTCTCTGATTTTGAGTCCTTGTGTTCTTTAAGTTGAGGCCATACAAACGTTCACGTAGGATGTGGTTGATGAACCTCCTACTACCCCTCTGCACAAGAATTAATGCAATTTTTTGTACTTTCTTTCAATATGAAGTAGTATTTTTCAAGCTGACCTGTTGCCCAAAGAATGATGAGACAGTCCATAGCTGGTGGCAAGTGACAGCTGTAATGGTAACAGCTACTTTTGATGGCAATTAAAAAAAAAAAAAAAAAAAGAGGAGGACTGTGGTAGAACCTTAAGGAAAAACACTCTCCCATGGCCAGCAAAGAAAATCATCACAGGTGTATACAGATGGGTTAAAAGATGGGATTTTGGTCCGTGGATGAACACCGGGAGAGAAGTAGATAGCAGAGAAAAATGCAGTCAGCACAGAAAATGGATGGTTAGTTGCCCATTGCTTGGAATGCTGACTATGGAGATAAGAGAGTGGAGCAGTACTGGGGGAGGACAGGCAGCAGGCTGTTGCACAGCACAGCTGTGAGCATGATCGGCGTGTGACTGCTGGATTATGACAATATGCCGCGTGTACAAAGCCCATGAACCAATAGACAGGGTGGCTACGGCTCGTGCAACACGCCTGTCCAGCGAGTGCATGTGTCATAGGTTCCCTATGTTATAACTGAGGTGTGTTTTGGCACCCACTGGCCGCATGTGCCAAAACCCATTCCTCTGCAAATGTATAAATACTGGGATTTCCCAAAGAGCATCACGCTGGTGTATGGCAAGGCCACAGTTGCCTCCGTGGGGATGCCCACGTAAAGCTGGCACCTACCGATTGCTGGGCTGAGCTCGTGGTGCAAGATGGCACAAGAATGTACGGATGGTCCATCTTCCTCACGGTCCTTGGGCTGGTATGTTAATCTGCTTTACAAGATACCCTTAGCATAACACACATCTGTAGTTAATAAATGCTTGCTTTTTCCCCTTATAGTCAGTGTGTGTGTGTTCACCTTCTCGGGAATCCTCAAAACCACCCTAAAACAACAGGGTTCTTGCCAGGTGATTTTTCTTCCCTGGGCATCCCCTCTAGTGTGGCAGGTGGTCTGCCACAATACTTTTCTGATAATAACTATAGTTTTCATGAGGACCTGCTCAAACTCCCTGCTCATTGTTCCTGCTTGTGATGCTGTTAGCGCTGATTGGAGCATGCTCTGATCAGAGGCAAGAGTTGCACATTAATTGATTGTTAAGCTTTGTGTGTGGATGTCACTGGGAAATGCATGTCTGTTATTTAAAGGACTACTCTCTATTGTGTTATTCACTAGGTTTTGTTTTTTCTTTTGTATAAAAGTTACAAAATGGGAGTAGGAAAGCGTGAGGGGGGAAGAAAAGGATGATTCTTGTATTGGTGTCAATCACTTTCCGTGGGAAATGTGATGTAGCAGGCTGAGGCTTTGCAGGTGCAGAGCTGGGAGAACAGGACAAGGACAGAAGGACATGGATGAAAACGTTGCCACAGCATTCTCCCAGTGCATAAGGGAAAGGGTGCAGACCTGCAAACAAAAGACTGCAGTGCTACAAGGAAAGGCTCCACATGGCAAGTGGAATGCCCTTAGCATAGGAGACATTAAGGCATTCTGTGAGTGTCTCAACATGCTTCTTGTTCTTTTCCTGCTGAACAGCTCTGTACAGCTCTGTTAACTAATGTGAACTGTTCAGATTGAGAAGTGGATCACTAAATATTAGTGTTGAGTAAGTGTTCATTTCTAGTCCCTTGGTGGTCTTTTGCAACTTTCCTGAAGAGCTAGTACTTCCCCACCACCCCGTTCTGGCAAATAAGTCTGGTAGAGGTAGAAATCTATTGCATTGTGAATTATTTTCTGTAGGATCTTTGTGAATTTGGGTCACTACAAGAGAAATAATTTAAAAATCAGCTAGCATGATAATTTTAGTGATTTAATGTCTGATTTATACTATTTTTCACCAGCAAGCCATGGATAAAAGGGCCAGTTCTACTGTTCTCCAGTAAGTTTTGATCTTCCTTAGGCTACTGGGGAGATTACAGAGCAAATAGGATATGAAATAGTTGCTAGTAGTTGCTTAGAATGTGGTAACGCTGAAGCAAATTTAAGTGAAGTGCAGTCTTTGGTGGTGTAAAGCATGACTAAAAATTGTTTTTTCTGAAAGTGTATGTTGCCTCCGGTCTCATCTGCCCTCCCTGGAGGATAGCTTGGAAGCAGCAGAGGTGACTGTCTTAAGGCCATGGAAAAGTCTATCCTAATGCTGTGCTGGAGATGCAGTTTTTCTAAATGGGATCACTTCTCAAAATTTGTGTTCCTCAAGGGAAGCACCATGTTTCACAAAGGATATCTAACTTCTGTGTCGAGAAGTCTTTGTCTCTGACTTATGGTCTGTGTATATTTTATTATTTTGGTTTCTGCAAAACTACTGTTATTCTTTGGATCAGAAAGGACTCTGAAATATGGAGCAAAGGTAACAATCTCAAGCTAGTGATACAGGAAAATGTGTCTTACCCTATTACAGTTTTTCAGAACGGGATACTGTGCTTACCACATACACTGAGAATAGTATCTTGTTGTAACTGGTCACAGACCAGACATGCGTATCCTCAGGTAAAGCTGTTCCTCTTCATAAGTATCTCTAAATATTCATGAGGCCATGAGAGTGAACACAGCTAGTTAGGGCACTTATGTGGAGGGCATGGTATGCTTAGGCTTCCGTCCTTACTCTTAAAAATATTAAAATATTTTAAATAGACCTTCTTCATCCAGAAGAATACACAATACCTAAATTCTTTGGCACTAAGAGGTGGAAAATGTAAATTCAGGTGTCTTCAGGGAGAACAGGGTTCAGCAGCTGGATTTCTTACATTGCTGTAAATGTGCTCCTGTGTACTTTTTGGTGTAGCCAGGAAGGAAAAGCGACTTCTCTCTTCAAGTGAATCTATGTGTGTGATTTAACAGGTATTAGAACATATCCATGTCCTGCCTTGTTAGACAGGAAGATTCTTACACATAATATGTACTGCTACTCTTCTGCTCAGTGCCTGGCATAAAATGCAATGTTTCCCTGCTATCAAGTCAGCTTTTTCCAACTCTGAGTACTCCCCTCTATATTTCCTTGCTGTGCTGAAGGAATTGTGTCCTCTCACCTGCATTCCAGATCTTTCAGCAGTTTCAGGGAAGGCGTGCTGCACCAGCACAGCACCATTACTGCTCCTTGATCAAGCCCTGGGTGAGGTCTGAGCAGGAACTCGGACTGCAGGGTTTTTATTCAGTTACGTTTGCCACCAAGTTCTCTAGAGAGAACCAGGTTGCATGCTATAGTCAAGCAGATCATCTGCCTCAGGCCTTGATACCTTGGAAGATACCTGGCCTGGGTCTGTCTTGGGGAAAATGAACTACAGAGGCTTCTGTGGGATGTTCACTTTCTTCTTAGCTTTTTCTCAGGCTGTACTGTTCAACCTTGTATTCCCCAGACCCATGAGATTGCTGTAGAAAGCTGCCTGAAGCATGAGGCAGTTGTCTTCATATTAAGGACCCACATTTTGAGGTTTTTATTTTTGCTCAGATTGAAGGAAAGCACCATGAATTTGTACCACACCATTAGCTACAAAGTAAAGTGCAAAAGCTGCCATGGTATCATTATTCTTACCCATAACCAGTGGTTGGTTGATGTCAAGATGATTGCTTGAAGTCATCTGTTGATGTAAACTGAGGTAATGTAAAATGAGGTTGATGTAAGCTGAGGTAAATTCAGCTTACAAATGGAAAGGAAGGCTTTCTGCTAGTTACTGGTGTTCCTCCAGATAGCTAGTTCTCATTTATGTCCATATTCCACTTGCTTTTCCCTTCTCCTTTTGTGTTTTCCTTCGGAGTAAGACTGAGATGCTGCACTTAGTGCAGTTTTGGTGTAACAGTGGTGGATAGTTGCTCTGTGCTTGTTAAAATACCTGGAAGAGAGCAATGTGGATTTTTGTTGCTTTGCTAGAAAATCAATACAGCAACATTCAATCTTAGGTCTATTTATTTGGGCTGATTTTTTTTCAGTTTGTTCATGAATCCAAACAATGAGTTATTCCCAGAGTCATTGTGGGGGACCTTAGCTGGACTGAGGCCCCTGGACAGGTCGGCTTTGACCTTGAGAAGATTCCAGTCTACCCATGAGAGAACAAACAGGAACAAGAACTGCAAGATAAACAAGTTTTGAGGCAGTGTTGACTGCAAGACAAGGCATATGTGTCCTTTTGGCAGAGGAGCTGAGTTGTGATGGACTGTGCAAATGTTAACCAATTATAAGACGGCATAATAACTTTGAACCAATAAGGAAGAGACACATCTGGGGCAGCTAAGGGAAAAGAGAATAAAGGAACAGAGAAAGAGAGCAATAAAGGCTTTTTGCACTAGCTTGCTTTTATAAAGTTTTGTTATCTTGTCGTTTTGTCCGTTTCGATCACGACAAGTCATAATCAAATGTGATTTAGTGGGGTTTTACATATTGAGTTCAACCAACTTGTTTTAAATTTCATACAAGTTCTGACTGGAAAATAACATGTTAAAATAAATAGTAACTCTCAGGGCAAGAGACCATAAATCTCTTGCAATCTATGAAAAAAGAAACATTTTAATGGGTCCCTTAAGGGTTCTTTCTCTGATAGAAATTTCTTCAGCATTTCCTGTCTTCTGCATCTGTATTTTTATCATTAAAGCATGTTTTCTCTTTCTAATTCCAGCTGGACTACTGGATGAAAAGATGTGGAGACACAGGCTGCTATACTTTTACTGTAAGTGTAGCTGTTTTGGAAACAAGATCCTTAATATCCTAGCTGAAAGTACAATTTTTAGCCCTCACAAATCAAGACAATCTAATCCAGTATGAAGGAACAGACTTTAAATATCCAAGCTTGCTAACATCATAATTCTCATGTGCATATTGATGTAGCTGTGTGGTAACATTACTTTTCTAGGTGT